TCTACATGTGAGGGCTTGGCCCACATGCTAACCGCATCCTTAAAAAAATTTGATGGTCTACATAATATGTTCCACTATGTTAGGACTCGAAATCCTTTCAAGTTCTATATCTATATATATGGAGGTCGCGATGATCTATTTTAGAGTGTTTTGACATTATCACCTTTTCAAGTAGGTTTTTTAGGTGCCCCTTACTTCCATATTATAAGGTTGACACCTCATATAAAATTTTTTCCTATATATTGTGAAACCCATGTGACTGGTGTTTGACACGATGTTTCAAAATCTGGATGGGTGGGGTGAATCGTTCACCCACAAATCCATGTTGAATTGTTGGATCAACAATCCAGATTGGGTCTGGATCAATCAGAATTAGTAATCCAAAAATATCTTAAAAAAAAAAAACCAGTAGTCTATAGGATAGCGATTTAAAGGAACCTAAAAATATATTAGACAAGCTTAAAAAAAAAAAGATATACAAGAGAGGATTTTTAGGGGGAATCAGGTCGGGACCTATATGAGAGAAAGACCTATGTGATATTTTGCCAGAGAATACATTTTTTATTTTTTTTCTTCACCCCTTTCTTTTGACAAAAGGTCACTTACATGTAGTCTCTATTATAATAAGATAAATTTCAAAATAAAATCAACATAACAATAAAACCAAGATCTTAACAACTTGATGCCATTGAAACAACTATGCATTATGCTTGAGAATAAAAAATAAGATTGCAAGAAACAAAAGGAAGAGTGTCGGAGATTACCTCAACCGGGCTTATTACACCCCACACCGAGTCACCATCATCTGATGATGCGGGATCAATAGTCTAGCTTCAATCTTGAACCGGGAAAGCAAATTTCGGTCAAGCCACACCAATGGAACATGAACCCCTTTGATCACAAACTCAAACCCTAGTTGAATTCTCTTAACAACCTAGTTTGAGAGAGATGGATTCTCTTTTTGCTAAACCCTAAAACCCTTAGCCATAAATCCATATTTAAGAGATAGGAGAGAGAAGAACTCTATAACCTAAAACCTTAGGTTTTTTCACAATATGGGAGAGAGAGATCAAACAGAGAGAAACTTTTTTAAGAGAGAGAAATAAAAATATAAGGTGTAGAGATTTTTTGGTGGAAACAATCCATGTTTATAGGCTTTGAATAAGATTAGGATTTCTTAGGGTTTTCTTTAGCTTGCCTCTTCTTGTGAGATTGAACATAGATCGTCAATCAAGGGTGATTTGTGGGGTGAGAGATATGAGCCATTCATTCCATAGATGGGTCATCAACATTATGGAAGGTGCATGAACCATTATCCCCTTTTCCTAAACCATTTTCTCAATCTTTCCACAAAATCTTTCGAAGATATATCAAGTCAATATTTAGTCAATATCTTCCAACCATATGGCCACATGCCATATCACCAAAAAAATAAGAAAGAGATTAAGGGTGGGGCGTGCCACCCAAGGGAGGCACTCATGCCCCACCTTCTAAAATATGGTTGGCCCATGTGCACAATGGGTCCCCATTATATTTTTATATATTTAAAATTAATAAAAGGATTTTAGAATATTATTTGAATATTTAAACAATTGTAAAATCAATATCTTTAATTTTATAACTCCAAAAATTATAAATAAAATATCCAGGGATTCATAAAAATTCAAATAATAATATTAAAATAATTTCTATCATAAAACAAACATAATTAAATTAATTTGATGGGAAAAATATCCATATGGTTTAAGAATCAACAATCATGGAGCACTCCACCTTCAACTGTGGACTACAGACAACACTTGCTTTATCAAACCAACCCAGTGTTTTTCATGACCTACAATCCAAGCAAGGGCTTATTAGCGGGTTACCAAAGTCTGACCGATAAGCCAAGGGATTGCAATCTCAATCTGTGAGTTTCAGGTCCTCCCTTAAAGACAAGTCAAGGTCACCAAGACCTTATGCGACCACAGCTCTATGGCGCATAGGGGTATCTCTGGCACATGCATACGCTTCACCCTAAAATATGGATTTCTGGCTTTTTCGAACGATCTATTGATATGCATGCCGTGTGATGGTACATGGATGAGGTTTTGACCCCTGTCTCTGTAGGCCACTATCACACACAAGAGTCACACGGTCCCTCGACTCACTCATCCGGGCATGTTCTCCGACCTCATCAAGGGCTAACCCATAAACCCTTATCGGTTTGTTCTTCATGCCCAGGTAACAACCGACTGGCCTAGATCGTTATCAGCAAACCAGCGTTTGCTTAATATTGTCCACGAGGGACCACACTCTCACTGAGTTCATGTTTCACTATATCATTTCATTTTACAATCACTCATAAGGCCATTAAAGGCCACATAAACCCAACACTATACTATCCTAAAATCAGTTTTGTCTCGACCTATTCCCATCTGAATTGGTGATCCATAGTAGAAATCATAGAGTTTCAAAACATTGGATTGACAAAATGGGAAAAGATGTCAATAATGGCCTATTTAGATCGGGAATAGCCAATTTGTAGTGGATTCAGTGAGTGGATAAACTGAGCCCAACATTATACATATTGATAGTAGTTCTCTATTGCGCATGTATGCTATGCTCGCTCAGGAGCATAGTTTACTTATGCGTATTTGTCAGGTGAACTAGTTAAAGGATTTTTTCAATCTGAAATTTTGGGAACCACTTAAGAATTATTTGATGATTTGTTGTCCAAAAAAGAGTTTTCTAACACTTAGATCTCACAATCTAAAAATTAGACGATCTCTTTTCAATCTCAAGAAATTTTTTTTTTTTCCAAGTCAGTAGAGGACACAGTTACAAAATTTTTTTTAAAAGAGTATACAACGAGACCGTTTTAGTAGAAGGTGATCACTATCACTCTTGTCTGCCGAATTTTAAATCGGGTGGTTAAAAATGTGTCATTGACTAGTTTTAAAGTTGAACGAATATGTCTCATACTTCTTGACACAACTCAAGCTACATGCTATCCAATTTGAAATTGCCTATAACATAGGTAACTAGTTTCCTAAAATACAATATTGAGATTAATTTATTCGTTGAAGCGGTTCCATCCCTAAAATTTCAGATCCTAAAATAATTCCAAGAGAGGTTTTACAGGTGATAGTAAAACCAATTTTTGCAATCATGATAGTATCATATAACTGAGTTGTGCAAAGCATTAGATGAGGGAGATCAGCTTCACAGTTGATCCAACGGCGAGGAAGTTGACAATTCATTTTGTTAAAATGGGCCGGCAATGATCGTGCTCCTATATAGATTTTGTTTTCAAAGAAACATTACTAGTTGGAGTAATTGGTGTTAAACTTATATGTCACCCTAAGTTAATGTGAGGGAAGAGATTCAGATGCATATGGATATGTTGCTAGATTTAGAACTTAGGAGAATCTAGGGTGAAAAAGGACAAGTGCAACATCTAAATGAAATTTTCCTCCACATTTAGGAAATAACTAGAGGAACAATTGCTGTAATATATTAGGTGTAAGTTGTAATTTTTTACTAATTCCCATTGTGATAGAGGACTAGCAAATAATTTTTATATTTTCTTGGGTTTTTGCTCAATGTAGAGTAAGTATGCATGTGCCACTTTTGTATTTATATTTGTGTGAAGATCTCATGATCAAAATTAAGGATTGAACGTGAAATTGGGTGATTGGTAATATCAAATTCTAACATTGTCACAAATTCGTACCCATACAAATGGAAAGGATTTAGTGGTCTGTCAGTCTATCATTAGTAACACCCATAGTAGGCGCCCAAAAATATGTGGTTCTATCTTGTCGCCCCAAAAGTAATAATAGAAAATGGGTGTGGTTTGTGTAAGGTTGCAATCTTATATAATACAATTAAGGTGCTCCTCCAAATTTTATTATAACATATAATTTTGGTATAAAAAGTTCTTAAGAATATCTTAAAATCTATTTTTATCTTTAATTATAAAATTTGAATCTCTAAAATAGTTAAAATCAAGTAGATCTATAAACATATGAAAATCTTGAAAATTGAATGGTCTAGATTATTTGTTGCAAGATGCACTATTTATGGGACTCAAATTTTTATTTTTTCATATTTATACATATCGATGTCGGGATGATCGATTAGAAGGTTTTTCAACATTAAAACAAGATTTTCCGATGGATTTTTGAAGTGTGTCTATAATTCTATATTTTAAGGTTGCAACCTTATATAAACATTGTTTTATAAAAATAGGAAACTTTATATATAAGTCCTGTTTTATTTTTTATATTTAAAAATAATCTCAAATATTTCATATCTTACAATGAGGTCTCTTTTTAAAAAACATAAAGTGTGTTTTAATTTTATCTCTTTTACATACATCATATTAAGCCCAAATTTTCTTTTTAAGGAGAAAGGCTATATAAGGCTTCAACCTTACACTACAAAAATAAAATGCACCTAAAAAAAACTACCAAAAAAAGTTATTCCGACATAATAAAACTCATGTTAATTATCCTTATGGATATTAAAAAAAAAAGTTACTACAGTTGGTAAAAGTATTAGATATCGTGGCATATTATCTGAGACTTCTATTTTAACAAAAATTAAGCATGTATTGATCGACATCATTCTCGGAGCTTTAAAGGTCATAATTAGCTTTAATGATTATAATTAGTGGTAGACAGATTTTTGTAGAAGTTTTTGGCATGAAAAAGTACATCTTTCAGCAAGGTTTGGAGGAAAAATGCGTCTTGTTTAATAGTAGTGTGATTTGAAAAAAATTCATTTCCAATTATGATTTGAATTTTTCACATCAAATAAATCCCCTAGCATGCATTTTGGGTGCAGCACCACGCACCCATGGGTGAATGTTGAAATGTTAAGAAGATGATTTCAATGTGGATTATGGTCATTAAAAAAGAGACATGGGCATTTGGGATATTACCTAGTAGAATTGGGGTGATTGTGTACGTATCACTGAGATCACTGTAACAGGATAAACTCTAAAGAAATGGAGAATTGATCACTTTCCTCTTCTTCCTCACATGTCCGGACCGAACCAGGCACCATTTTAGGGAACTTTCCAGATATAGTAATCAAGAATGGGGGTGAGTTTTTTCTTTTCTGGTTTTTTTTGGAAACTGCTTACCCGTTTTAAGATGGTCGATCACTCCTTTGCAAAATGCTAATGGTGTTTTTGTTCCTATAATTATTTTCATTTCTGTTAAAATATAGCAGGAGCATGGTGTTGTAGCTTTCATCTCAAACCCAATAAACCCATCTGCTTCCCTGTTCACCAATTATCAATGGTTGTGCCTTGAACATCAGATGCTGTTTTTTTCAGACCCTTAGATCCTCGAAGTCACCATTTTAGAATTTTTTACTATAGCCAAAAGCCATTAGAAGCCCTAGATATGGAGTTTCAGGTAGGTTCTGAATTTATTCTAGACTCATTTTCATGGCCCCCAATATTTTGCTATTTATAGAAACTTCTTAGCTTGGGTGTAGCTTCACTTCTGTAGATTTCAACCCAACCCAATTTCACCAAGCTGAGAAATTGCCATCATTATGTGAAAAAAGCACCATTTCTAGTTTTTTGCTTTTCTTTTTTTGGTTTTTGCAGAAATGGGAATGGAGCGCCAAAGGAGCTTCTCCTTAAAGCCGTCACATTTCTTGGTTTTCTCCTTCATTTTCACCTCATCTCTCCTACTGTTATTCTTCTTTAAGATCCACTTGGACTATTCATCCCAAAGTTCTCGCAGTTTTACACATTATAACGCTTCCTCTCTAAGCTCTTTTCAGATTGAAACCTCCCAAGTTCGGATTTTTACCATTTCTAGTAAGAATTTCTCTGTTGTACAAATGCAAACTCCCAAATTGCCTGAGACCCAAGTTTTGAAATCTGCGGTTTTCAAGTTTAATCAGAAAAACACGAATTTATCAACCGGATTTAATGGATCAAATTCATCAGTTAATAGAAAGAGTGAAATTAATGGCTCAACTTCATCTGGTACTAGAGATGGTGAGGTTTCTCAAAAGAAAGCTTCATCTGGTACTAGAGATGGGGAAATCAAGGGTGAGAAAGAGTGTGATATATACACTGGGAAGTGGGTTTTTGATGAGACATATCCTCTGTATTCAACTGCATCATGCCCATTTATAGATGACGGTTTCAACTGTGAGGCAAATGGCAGGCCAGATAGGGACTATATGAAGTGGAGATGGCAACCACGTGGCTGCTCCATCCCAAGGTACTCTCTCTCTCTCTCTCTCTCTCGAGAACTGGAAGTTGAGAATTGGGTTTGTATCAGTAAAACGTTGGGTTTGTGGAATATTGTTGGGACGCAGGTTTAGTGCAGTGAATATGTTGAAACTATTAAGAGGGAAGAGACTGGTTTTTGTTGGAGATTCAATAAACCGAAACCAATGGGAATCAATGCTGTGTCTGTTAAGAAGTTCAATCCCCGATCCAAAACGGGTTTTTGAGGCACGAGGGAGGAAGATCACCAAGGAGAAGGGCATTTACAACTTCAAGTTTGTGGTAATTCATCAGAAACCTGTACTTCAAAATGTTATTTCCTCCTATGTTCCTCTTATTTCTTATTATTTTCTTTTTGATGCTTAAGCTGTATAAGTTTGGTATCTTTATAATGTATGTTAATTGGAATCAAATATTTCAGGATTATGGATGTAGTGTGGAATACTATGTTACACATTTCCTAGTTCATGAGAGTAAGGCCAGAGTTGGACCCAAAAGGGTGCAGACGCTTCGAATTGACACAATTGACCGTGGCTCATCGAGGTGGAAGAAGGCTGACATTCTCGTCTTCAACACAGCCCATTGGTGGACACATACAAAGACTAAAGCTGGGTGAGTTGACTGAATAAGTTTCTGACTCAAGACTATACTCTGCTTCTCCTTCTATAGCTGCTATTCTTATTAAATTGTTTTCTAGGGAAAGTGATTGAGTGTTGAGTTGATAATGTTCTTAGGACCAGAGGATTTTGATTTGATGTTGTAGCTAAGTAATATTACTCTTTACTACCATAGGATTTTTATTTGATATGGGTCAGGCAGTTCTTCAACTGATGTAATACAGAATATACAACCAGCCAATTTATGAACAACACACGCATGAATTGATAGCCCCAGCCATAAATAAAACTGTGAGATGAGTGCTGGAGGGAATGCAAGAGATGTGGGTGAATAAATGCTTTTCATTGAGAATAGGGGAGTTTTGATTAGGCTAAATGGGGCTAGAATTCATACAACTGAGATAATCCAACATATATAACCAATGAATTATAATCACAACACTTCTGGATAGACACAGTTCAAAGATAATGGTGGAGTTTCGATTTTATATGCAGTAGGCAAATGGCACAATTAATTTATACAACTGAGTTAACTCAGCTTATAAAATCACTGAATCATAGATAAGAACAAACTCAGTGAATTGACAGATAGAGCCATAAGTAAAACTGGTCATCTGATAGATTAAAGAAAGTGCAAGACAGATATGACAATATATTTCTCTTTCAAAGAGAATAGGAAAGGGGCATTAGGTCATGAACCGAGTTAGAATTTTCACGGTCAAAACCGACAAATTGTTTTTTTCACCTTTCCTTTCTTTTCTTTTTTGGGTATTTTTCTTCATACGGGTGCAAAATGGTCTTGGGTAATGGGCACTGTAATCATCTGTTCTTGTAATTGTTGGAGATTGGTGGGTGAAATGGGGGCAAAAAAATGGTACGATTTGCAAAATTGTTTTTAGGCACGTAGGAGCGCTATCTCAAGACAATATTTGCCCCCCTTTGATGTAGTATTTGTTGTGCATAAGAAGGGCAATTCGTCCTCGGGATACAAGAAAACAAAGAGGTCTTATAACAATATTCCTAAGCTCTATGCACCCGAGCTTGGAACCCACACAATAGACACCAAAGACTTGATAGTTTAGAGAGGGAAAAGATAAAATCAAGTAGAGAGAGTGTGTGTTAGCCCACTGGTTTGTTTGCTGGAATTGAAGAGAATGGTCTCTTGAGAGAGACTAAAAAATTGTTCTAAGTATGTTTTTTAAAAAGTTCTGACTCATATGGGTAGGAGGGCTCTTGTTATATAGCACCAAAAGGTTGTCCATTTAATGTTGTGGTGGTTACATGCATCACATAATTACTGTTGTGGTGGTTATATGCATCACCAATTAGCTACAAGTTACATGCTCCTCAATAGCTACAAGTTACATGAGTTACATGCACCCCAACATCTACAAGTTGCATGAGTTACATGCACGGCTGCTGTTACAAGCCTCTATCTTATCAACGGCTAGATGATCGTTGGATGTCTCACACTCATTGATGGCTAGATGACCGACACTCACGGCTAGTTCCTCTATAAGAAGGGCTCACAAAAAATCAAAAGAGTGTCTAGTTTAAAAAATCAAAAGAGTGTCTAGTTCATCTATGAGCTGGGCTCACAAAAACGAGCCGGGCTCACAAAAAGATCAAAAGATAATGAGTCACGAGCCCAACCCGCACTCAGGCAAGGGGCACCTCATGCGCCGATGCGAGCATGCGCCATCAAACGCCCTTGCCCACGCGTGTGCCCTTCGCACGTTTCGCATGCTTTGCACACGTGCATTTTCTCTCATTTGTACTTGGAGTAAATTACATAAGAATGAGTGCTCTTAAATAGACTTCAACAAACTCTCTCCTCTTCAATGTGGGACTCAAATCCACATCTTTCTCTCTCTACAAAGCAATTTAGAAAAGAACAATAAAACCATAATAAAAACAATTTAGGAAAGAATAATATAACATAGTGTTGTTTTGAAATACATATAAGTAATTTTCAGACAAAAAATACACGTCAATGTATCTTAAATCATATTAGGGTTGGTTCGTTGATTTAAGGGAAAATTACAAAAAACCCCCAAAATCACACTTTCTATGCAACTTACCCCGGACCTAACTTTTTCTCTCAATTTTTTCCCTAAAACAAACTTTTTATGCAAATAGCCCCCAAGGGAAAAGTTCATTTTTTAGACGGAAATACCCTTCCCGTACACAAAAGTCATTTTAGTCAGATTTGACGTTGACTTTTGGACCCCAGTAGCACATTGCCGGACGCACTATCATTTTGCCGGAGTGCACAAGTGTCGAACCACCCTAAGACAACTATTAGATCAAAACTGCGTACTGCTGAACCGCCTTTTACATAGTGTTAGAGCCTTGGAATCCAATAACATCTATTGTCGAACCGCCCTAAGACAACTATCAAACCGAAATTGAGTACTGTCGAACGGCCTTTTACAGTGTCAGATCGTTGGAATCCAATAACATCTATTGCCAGACAGCCCTTTGAAACTGCTAGAGCACCCTTTGCAATTGCTGGACCGCACTTTACACAGTGCCATAGCCCTACTGCCAGACCCGTTGCAATTGCTGGACCGCACTTTATATAGTGCCATAGCCCTATTGCCGGACCGCACTTTACACGGTGGCAGAGCCCTAGGACCACACTTTACAGAGCCCTACTGGGCCACACTTACACAGTGTCGGAGCCCCTATTTTGATGGGATAGGAGAGAGTGGTGTGGGTAAGGTAAAAGTAAGGGAGAGTAGTTTAGGAATTTTTTTTAGTTTTTATTTGGTTTGGGGTATTTGTATTGAAAGTGTATTTTGGAGGAAAAAGTAATAAAAAATTAAGTTGGAGGTAAGTTGCATTGAAAGTGTAGTCTTAGAGGTTTTTTTTGTAATTTTGCCTTAATTTAACTTTCATCAGCCTGTCAATAGGGTGAATTATTACCAAGAAGGCGATCAAGTTCATCACCACCTCGATGTCTTAACTGCTTATAGAAGAGCTTTGATGACTTGGGCATCTTGGGTTGATAGGCATGCCATCCCGGGCAAGACTCAAGTTTTCTTTAGAACTTCAGCACCTTCTCATTTCAGGTCTCTCTCTCTCTCACATCGTCCTGAAAGAATTTTCTCTCTCTCTCTCTCACTCTCACGTGCATTTTCCTGTAAGAATTTTAAACTTTGTATCTTGTGACAGTGGTGGCCAATGGAATGCTGGAGGCCATTGCAATGGAGAAACCCAACCCCTCCGAAACTACACCAATGGTGAGTTTGCTGAAAAGTTGAGACTAACTGAAGAGGTAATAAAAGAAATGAGAACCCCTGTAACTGTATTGAATATAACTGACATATCAGGGCTCCGGGTGGATGGCCATCCTTCTGTATATGGCAGAAAACCAGGGGTATCCCCCTCATCAAGTGTTCAGGATTGCAGCCATTGGTGTCTTCCAGGTGTTCCTGATACTTGGAACGAATTGTTGTATTTTTTGTTGGTTTCGAAACGGAGGGAAGTTTCCACAAAGTAAAATGGGATCCATCATTCTTTATCTTTGGTTTCTTCTCTGCATTATCCCTTTTTTCATTTTGGCGTTCAGTTGTTTCAAAATTCTGAGAACTGAAAAACAGTTTCAAAATTGTTGTGGTATAAATGAACAAATTTATTTTTTTTGAGAGAGAAGAACCACAGTCATGCAACAAAGTTAATTGTTTCCTTAAATGAGCATCAATTGAATTAGGGTGTGGTTTCTATAAGGTTGCAACCTTAAACAATCCACTTAAGGTGCATCTCCAAATTTTATCATGTAATTTTGATATAAATATTTTTTACGATTATCTGAAAATCTATTTTCATATTTAATTATAAAATTTTAGTTAAAAATTGGTTAAAATCAAATAAATCTATAATCATATGAAAATCTTGAAAATAGTCTGTCTAGATAATGTGGTGATGCATGGGATTCAAAATCTTCATCTTTTTTCATATTCATACATCCCAATGTCAAGATGATCAATTAGAGAGTTTTTCAACATTGAAACAACCTTTGCCGATGGATTTTTAACGTGTATCTTTAATTCTACATTTTAAGGTTGCAACCTTATATAAACCTTTTCATTGAAATTATTGGACAAATTTTTACTATAATATTTATCAAGGTCCATCATTACTCTTATGCAAAATAGGCAATTGCTTGGACATTATACAAAATAACAGCCGACAACACAGCTTATTATCCAAGAGCATAAACAACTATACAGTTACTTTCCCAAATCAAATTGAATTTAGAAACAAATCATCTTCTCCAATATAGATCATTATTACTCTGCAACCTGCTTCGGGCTTTCCCATCCAAGTGCTTCTTGATATTAGATCAAGGCCAAGCAAGCTTGAAATCCAACCACCGGGAAAAAGTTTGGCTTTCCATAGTGTCTAAATACCATGTAGAACTCCAATTGTGAGTGAATTCTGGCCCTCCGATCATGAGCATTTCTCATGTATCACCAACCGTCTGCAATTGTAGATACCTGTTTGCCAACTCAAACAATGGGACTCAGAGAGAGAGATAGAGAAGCGAGAATTGTGGTTGTGGGGGAATAGGGGTGTTAACTTGCAACAAAAAATGGGACTCAGAGAGAGAGAAGCGAGAGTTGTAGTTGTGGGGGGATAGGGGTGTTCAACTTACAATCATGCAATTTTTGGAGCTCGACCAAAGGAGAGAGATGTATCATCCCGCTTTGAAGTGGAACCTTCAGGCCTCCTGGCCCATATGGGAGCTCGATCGGGTTCATAACGGTAATCGTAAAATAGCTCCTCACTTGCTTCAATGTGCTCTTTTGCATATATACCAACTCGGTGATCTCCAGCTACCATCATTACCTATGCACAAACACAGGAACCATATTAGCAAAAGACAGCATGTAAAGCACAACTTACATCAGCATATACCTTTGCATAGCAGTTGGGATTAGACGAATGATTTGCAAATTTAAGCTTGTCGCCTTTTCGAAAAGCATCAAGAACAAACTGCGTAGAACAAAAATAACCTCTATTAAGAAAATCTGATGCCATAGTGCTTTCATTTGACTGAACTGCACACTTGAAAAACGTTCCAAAATACCTGGTCATTCAAGTTAAAAAGAAAGGAAGAGTTTGCACGGTCATAAATTTTTCCTCGCTTATCTGCTTCTCTATGGGAGATTAACTCACCGGTGTACTCTCCAAGGTAGTCATTTCTATTAACAGGATTCTGTTATCACATTAAGACCATGAAAGTTAAGAGTGAGAAAATAGAGGTGGATATCCAAAGAAACCAATGGCTATTTCTGCAATCCCACCTTCAAGAAGGCTCCCCAACCTGCGACATCAGACTTGCCCAATAGGATCTGCAAAAATTTTAGAACCATTGATCAATACAAACCCTTCTCTGAATGCGTACACTATAACTCAACAGACTATGGTACATGGTGCTCCAGAGGAACATCCAGAATCTGTCCCTGATCATAGATGGTGAAGATTAACTGTAATTGGATGCATGTCCCAGTGGGCTACTGGCCCAATATGATTAATCTTCATGGTCCCTCAGCAGGAACAGAAGATAGATGCTTACCATAGTCCATTAGATCATGGTATACCAAACCTTTCAGGATTCAATAATAAAATAACAGTGAAGAAGGTTGCAGCTACTCTCTGCTGTTGCTTAAGGAGAGCTTCATGTTCCCACACTTATAATTCTATGATTGTGGACACTATAATTCAATGAGATATGGTACATAATGCTCAAAAGGACATCCACAGTCCATTTCCATTGATTCAGAGTAAAGATTAACAGTACTTGGGTGCATGTTCCAGTGGGCTCCAATATGATTCATACTCATGGTCCATCAGCAGGATCAGAAGGTGGATGCTTATTTTGAGTTTTGTATACCATAGTCCATTGAATCATGGTGTACCTTGCCTTTAGGGATTCAAATGATAAATTAATAACGAAGAAGGTTGCAGTTACTCTCTGCTGTTGCTTAAGGAGGAGCTTCATGTTCCCACAATTATAATTGTCACCCCTCAGTGGTGGTCCACCCAATGTGCCATCTCCACAGCTACAAAAAGAAAGCAAGAAAATCTCATATAAGGCCAATCCATGATCTACCACGTCAAGCTTATGGGTACCCAGAAACTCAAATGTGCTGTAAAACTAATGGACTGCAGGAAAAACGTAGGCCATTGGGGTTTTCACCATCCAATGAAATGATGAATGGTGATGGAGAGAGAATGGAACCCACCAGTGGGGGAGTACATGTCCTGTTCTTGATGGTCCCACTCTCTGTTAATCTCCCTCATTTCATTGGACAGTATCAACAAAACAGACTTACAGTTTTCTGCAGCCCGTTTAATTATATTGTACTAAAAAATATAAGAGTACCATTACTTGCATTCATCATATGCAACCAATAGAGTTATATTTTTTCAAGAATGTTACTGTCACCAAGAGAGGTATGAAACATTAACTGATTCAAAATCAAAATAATTTGAACCAATCAAATACATTACCTAACCCAACAATTTCTGCAGACATCTGGATCACATTCACGGCCAGCAGCAAAACAGGGGCACTGCCTGCTGCGACATTGACTCTTGGCACAATGGCAGCCTCTAAACCTATTTTTGCAGATCTTTGGGCACCTGCGTGGAATGGAAATTAATTTCACTATTTTAGAAGCAGATACGAGACTCGGTTCATGTTTCTTATACCGATGGACCATTTTTTTGGCATCACATTACTCTTGCACTTCAAAAAGAAATGACTAACATATCTTGCTAATTTAAAGCCAAGTACTGCTTACAACTAAAAGCATTTCAGTAACTCTCTGGAATTGTAGAAGTAATAGGAGATGTCTTGCTAACAATGAAAGAAAATTCGGCGGCCATTTTCTCAAACCGCCTAGGTGTGGACTAGGCGGTATGCTCCAGGCAGGTGCATTAAGGCGTCCACTTAGGCGACATAAAAGGCGGGTGCCCAGGCTCCGCCTTGAACAATTGAGACCGAGGGCGGAAATGCCCCTGGGCCATTGGGCAATTTTGACATTTCCCTCCTTAAAAGGGGGGAAAAGGGTTTTGAGGGTCATTCTTGCCCCCTTAAATGTTTTTAGTGAGGTTTAAGGTGAGAATAACCCTGAAAAAAAACAAGATTTGAAGATTTGTAGAGAATGAAATTTTTTTCAACCTCGTCGAATGCTTACAAAATTAAAGGATATTCATCCCCAATCTTTTTGAAGCTCATAGTAGCTGTACAAGAGGAGATTTGGGAACCAAAACTTTCCGGTTTGGCCTGATATCGATTCCATTTCAAGAAGGTTGATATATTTCAATATTTTTTAGTAGGTTTTTTTTTTTAGTTCACAATGTCTTATGATGTTATTATTTGCTTTTTGCATTTTCTTTTTGATAATTTATGATATATATTAGATATGTTATCAACTATTTGGATTATTATGCACCCAAAAAAAAAAAACTATTTGGATTATTTTCCCATTTTAATGTTTAGTTTGGATCTTTGGGAAAGCAATTCAATGGAAAAAGTCCATTTCCCCAAACCAAATGAATAATTTTTTTAAAAAGAAATTTATGCATGAGTTTACTTATATGATTCATAAACCATAACTTTTATCCCCATCATTTTATTTTTTTTATGAGTTAGTTTAACAATTGCTTATTAAATAATGAACAATTGTTTCATGCGGGCTAGACCGCATTTGTATAATATGCAGTCCAGAGGTATAAAGCATCCATCTTAAAGATGGATGCAAATAGGTGGTCCATTTAAAATCAATTGTAACTAAAGGTCCAAATTTTTTTTTAATATAATTATTATTTCTAGTTTTCAAAATTTATTTATTTTTTCATATTCATGATCTCCATGTTAAAGATTATATATTCTCTGAAAATTAGGATCAAATTATATTTAAAAAATATATATTCATTGCCAAGCCCTCATTTGTACATGTGCGGGCTTGGCCGCATGCTAACCACGTTTTTTCGATTTTATGTGTTATGTTATTACAATTTTGATGCTAGTGATGATGAAACTCAACGTCATATTTGAGTTCATCATATTTGTAGGGTGACAAAGACTATGTTTTGTAGTTTATGGCCTTGATTGTTAGATGTGACTTTTTTTTTTATGACTTATGAGTATTTGTTTTGACTTGTGACTTGCAAGATTTAATGGACATATCGAGTGGCTTTTATCTTTCAACGTTGCTTTTGAGTTTTAACTATTTCATTTACACTTTAAAGTCATGTATGTTTCTATTTAATCAGTACTTCTGACTTTTGAACAATATATTATATACAAAACTTATTTATTACACAAAAAAAATGCCAATTTTATATACAACAAAAGGGGGGGCAGGTATGGGCGGTTCAACAATTCGTAAGGATCTGCCCCTCACCCCAATGCATACCGCCTTTGTATCTGGGCGCCTGCCTAGGTGGCCGCCTTGGCGCCTAGGCGGCCCAGACCCTTGGCAGCCTAGGAGGCCGCGTGTGCCTTCTTGAACATTGCTTGCTAATATAGAAAAGTTTAAAATGGGGATCAAACACGCAGGGGATGGATTAGCATACCCACAATACTTCTCACAACAAGTTCCATTGTTCATACAAGGGCACTCCTTCCCACATATGAGATCGCATCCACATGGTGTGTACTGCTTACATGATTGCTGCTTCCCATCAGCCATTCTTTTACGAATTGATGGATGGCCAGCAGATTTCCATGTATATTTTAACTTCCGTGCTCGGCTTCTTCTGCGCAATATTCTTGGTCTTGCCGGCATATCCTGTTCCTTAAAATGTTTATTGCCAAACAGAAAGAATTGGGTGTCAATAACGACAATGAAACCTTGAGTAGAATATAATATTTCCCATATAATTGATGTTATCCTTGGTGCAACAATAAGGCTCACCAACAAACATGCATGCACGCATGTGACATCAATAGAATGAGTATCTCTTGGAAAGCTGGCAACATTTATAGTAGAGACTTGAGAGAATCAATTATCCAATATAAGGATAATTTAAGAAAGTCACTATGCCTTAAATGTTTACTCATATAAGCATAAAGGGTATGGAAATAATGAAAATATCTAACCATAATATCAGCATCAGGCTTCCCGTTTTCATCTGAGGAAGAATTAGGGACAGAAGAGAACTTGGGATGCATGGCAGCCTCATCGTCAAGCATGTAATCTGCAACTTCTTTGCATGTCTTTAAACCAGAAAGTAAGTTCCTTGCTATAAGGCAGCTGTAAATCATGGGATACAAATTATCCATCAAGAGATATCCACAATTCAATAAACTACTCAGAATCATAAAAACCAAACTTAAGGATGGACAAACCCAGTAGCATCTAAAGAGCCAATGAAAGAAAGAAGCAGATTCATTTTTGTGTCAAAACAACTTCTTATGCCATTCCAGTAAAATATATTTAAAAACACTAGCTAGGATCCAAAATATCATATCTTTCAACAATACACAGGTATACTGAAGAAGTTCAATAATTAAAGAAAGAATGATACGTTAACTTCCAAGTGATATTGAAGAGCTTCAAAATAGGCCAAATTAGAAAAAAAATAGAATTATGCCTATGAGACATTTACTAGTTGAAACATCATAGCGGAGTTCTGACAATCAAGTTCAAAAGCATTTGGCAGATTCAGGCACTTTGCAGACTGCAAAGAACATTCACTTAAACCAAAGAAGGATATGGGTAGTAACACATACAAAAGGAATCCACAGAAACATGAAAATACCCATGACCTTTCAAATTGACAAAATAATAGGTAAAATCCGAAGTCCCACGTGGATATACAATGTTAATGAAACTGGAACCAACCATCAGTTGGATCCAGTTCAGACCAGACCCTGCACCAGTCCGGTTAGGTAACAGAGATGGACAAGGACCATATCCATACCCAAAACCTCCCAATTGAAATACTCAATGCCTAGTTTTCATAGCTACGGGTGTCTTGTTTTCCAAACAGGAAGAACCACTATCTACCAGTTAGTTTTGCTATGCCTAGTTCAGAAATGATATTTTACACTAAACTGGAAGAAAACCTTCCAATTTTACTAATAAAACTGTTCTTTTCAGGACAAGAGAGAAAAAAAAGAAGAGTGACTGGGAAAGACACCCTTTTCAGGTCTGCCAATTTAAAAAATGAGATGTTATCTCAATAGTGAAGGAATAAGAAAAGGATATACTCGGCAAAGTAACACAGTTCAGATGAAATCAGACCAGAAGACGGTAGGTTACAAGATGCAGTCTAAATCAGCAAACTTTGGGGGAAGCCCCAAAATCTGGTAAAGACCCTGAGCTTTAAAATCATTCAACATTGGTGCTCTGGCATGGTCTCACATACTTCAAAGAAGATCCATACAACCACCAATAAGGCTGCTATAGTCCATGGCATTATGCACAAACTGAATGCTTACTTATGGATATCCACTATTCAGAGCAAGGATTTGCAGCAATTGTGAGTAGCAATTCATACATGCAATGTGAACTGAGATTTCGAGTCTCAATACTGAATAGCAATTTCAACACTGATGAGTTGCAAATATCTCATTACACGATGAAAATATATCTTACAAGGCTAAATTAAGATATTATAGAAAATGGCTGAATCAAAATAGACTTTACCTATTTTTTCCAAATATCTCTAATCCTTTTGTGTATAGATCCTTCTCCATACGACTCCATTCATGACTTTCATGACAACTACGGGATTGTCTCGTTAAATAAGTTTTGGGCTTCTCAGGAAGCAAAATGGTTTCATCTCCAAAGGAACTCTCCTGGCAATCAGGGGTACCCTCCATGTTCTCCTTCTGTGTAGGATTCGCATTCATTGCTTCAAAAGAAGTCTTCCCTTTTCCATGATCGCCCACCATCAAAGCTTCCCTTCCCACTGAAACTACGTCCGAAGCAACCATTATCTTCTGTCTTTTACTAACAGGGTCAAGTATATCTTTTGCAGATGGATTGTGGCGATCCATTGGCATCGCTCCTTTCTTTAAGCCTGCCTTCTTCTTACCTACATTAAAAATAAAGTGCAGTTCTGAAATGGCTCCAAAAACTAGAAATTTTAATGAGCAACTTCAGAGTTATCGTAATTGCAAAAACAAAGTTTACGAAAATATATTTGAGGATAAGCCTCTCTATATCCATGATACTTCATTAAAACCTGTAATGCTTCTGTAATCTGTATCGGCAATTGACTCTTCATTTGAAGAGGAGACGGGAGTAGTTTCTTTCTCAAAATTCAATCCAGGTTTGCTCTTGTTGAATCCCTCAAGAGAGTTGTCTTGCACATGCTCCTTTTCCTGCAGAGAGACAAAAGAAGCAAAATCATAAATTTCATAAGTCAACATTTTTAAGTTAGAAAACAATAATAATGAGTATTTTCATCTGTGTTAAAATGAGTTCCTACCAATGTCAGGAACATCAAATTAGAAATTCAAACTTTATTATGGAGTTAGTTCATTTGTTAATAAGATTAAAAACATAACAAGCTCTGAAGTCATTTTAGAACCATAGTTCCCCCATTTCAAATATGAAAAATATCATGGAAAAATTCATACTGTCAGACAACATAGTAAGAACCAGAAAAACTATGAAAGATAAAGACAAAACTGAATAAAGGCAAAGCAGAACTGGACCAAAAATTCTGGAGTAGATAAGATCTAAATACTTCTAGAAAACCACGACATTTATACCACAAGATAGCAATTATTGCTGCATGGAACACCACTCTCTTCAGCATCAGACCAGGGTGCCTGCTTATCGATCTGTCACAACAATGCAGCTCTTTAGAAGACTGAAAAACAATACTGTCATTTAGACCGTGCATGAAAAGTGCATACAAAATGCCGATAATGAAATTTCAAAAACAACATATCACCTACAGGTGTTATAAGTCCATGGGAACAGCCATGCAAACGACAGTCAAAGACCTGTCAAAAGAGAGATCACCAGAAAATAATTAATACAAACAGGTTGACAGCATAGGAAAAAAAGCCATAGAACACAAAAAATTAGATGATGCTTAGGAAAAGAGGGCTGGAACCTTTAAAATCTATATGCATCAATCCATGAGAAATTAATTATAGATCACGATTTAATTCTGAAGACCATGAACTCCGTGCAGTAATACTTAGCATTGATCACACAAATGGACCCTTAGCGGCAGGACTCAAATAAATTTTCGAATAATAAAAATTTTGACATAAATGAGATGGTGACAAAATTGGATGAATTTGACCAAATTTCTACCGTCACAACTCACACACAAAGACTATAATGTAAAATAAGCACATAAAGCAGAAGAAATGTGTAGTCTGGAAATACCAAGCAACGACGACAAAAGAGATTGTCGAAAGAATCCAATGTAGCACTGAGGCTCCTGTTCAGATGAATGCTCCACTCGGAATCTGTTTTATCTTTAACTCCATCTTTTTTGGAGTATTTGTACTCATATTGCTCCACAAGTGTTTCATATCTTGCCTGCAAAATGAATATAAGATTTGATGAAATCCAGCATGGTCCAAAAGACAATAAATTAATGAACGAAAAAATTTATTCAAAACACTTGCAGTCATATGAGGATATCATTTGGAAAAAAGACATCACTGTCAAATAGCTCTCATATGATTTTTGTATTGAAGACAAGAAAGGGACAACACGTAACTATTCTGCAGTTGGGAAACGTGAAATCCAAGAGAAAGTGTGACGAGTCAACAATTACTGATTTATTAAGGAATGGTACCTTTATTTCAAAGGAGCTCGCATCAATGAACTGAGAGAGAGTATTCAAGACCTCATCCTTTAGCCCATACCCTTGAATAGCATTCCTACAATATCAGTTAACAAAAATACAGAAGGACCAAATAAGTCAAGACTGAAATTTCCAACCTCTATTCAAAGCCAAATACAAGATAGCTGTAACTAGAATAGATTCATGATACGGTATGGTGATGCGAATTATATTATGTATAAACAGGCAATGCAATAATGTTCAAGTCCCTAACAATGCCACCTTTATTGGAAGGGTCTAAGTTCCAGAAATAATTACAGAAGAAAGTACTATGCTGGATCAAGAACATTCTATCACCACCCATATTAAAGATTTTCTATTGAGAATTAGCTAATATGTAAACATTAGTATCTGTCATTCAGTTAGTTCTAGCATATAAGTAAAGAAAGGTTATAGCCTAGTTTTTCTTTATTCAATAGAATATTAGTTTAAGTAAAAATCATCAGAGCTCCCATATTTCCTGTTGATGTCAGCACCAAAGAAGCTCTGGCATATGCACAGTTAGCAACATCTACCTCTGAACACAAAAGGATTTATGAAGAAGGAAACACACATAGATGAGCATTCTGTATAAATATTCGCCTTAAAGCATACAATGTCTTGAATACATAGGATGTGTCCCACTTTCTCCAATGTGAAAATGAGAAAAGACAAGTAGTCCTCTTTTCTGACAAGAAGCTTATGGCTTCTTTATTAGGATCATTCACTGCCATATGGATAAATCAAAGAGCTTGAGACTGATATGTAAGACCTTGTGATTGCAGACTTATCAGTTCAGGTGAAGGCGGTCAGGGGTTCAAATCCTTGAAGTTTGTCCAAAGCTGACCTACCCTTTTTTTACAATGGAGAGAGTACACAGATTGTTAAAGTGGAGACTGTCGACAGGTTCTAAATCGACCTATGATGTAATCCCACAGTTAAATTCTGTTATCTATATAAAAACACATTCTCAGTTATCAAACTAACTACAATGCTTCCAACAAAAAACATGACATAAAATATTACTTACTTACCACAAAATTCGATCTTCACCTTCAGAGAACTCATGCTTCTCTTCTTCCCGTTCTGCAAACTCTTCCTCACTATCACTACATATTAATGCTTCACTACCACACGCGTCATAATAAATACGTCTTCGCCCAACAACAGATTGATCTTCAGCCATTCTTTGATTTCTGCACCAGGCAAACAGAGTTGAACAGCAAAGAGGAAAAATATTTAATACAGGATCATTGAGATAGTGAAAGAAAAAGAAAATAATGTAGATTGAAGAGGAAATCTAGAAAGAAAAAGATAGAAAGCAGGAAGTAAATTCATGTAATATAATGAAATCCATGCCTTTCTTACAGGGGGAAAAACTGAATTCATACTTTAGATATAGGTACTTTGGCAAATTCAGGAATCCATTCACAGAGTGCAATCCCAAATTTTCTAGAACTCAAGTTTCTCAGAAGATTTTCTTGAGAAACCAGGCTATCTTAAGCACCCTCAGATTCCCCAGCAACTCTTTCCATACAATCATACGCCCCATTACTTGTCAATATAATTGATAAAAAATCATAGAAAGAATCCAGGGCCCAATAACCCCATTCTGAGAAAACCATCAACCCATGTTGGATGATCAATTGATTCTTAGCCAAATTTATGAAAGGGGTAAAGCTCTCGAATTGCAGTGCGATTCATTCACTTCATTAACTCCTTCCATATATCCAATATTTAATAAATACATCCACTTCTTGACGGACTTTCCAACTCAAGCTAGTCAAATTCTTATTTGCCTAGGTACAGCAATCCATTCATTCCATGTTCCTGATACCTAAACTCGTTGAACGTAGCTTGGAATCTTGCTTTTAGGTGGCATTCCCAAAATTAACCCCAATGCAATATCTAGGTGATTGCTCATGAAAATTTATCCACTTAACCATTGTCACTTCCCATCCCTAAGTACCAACAGCCACTAAGATTGATACAGTTTCAGAAGCACAACCTTGTTTTGAACATCTCTATCTCAATACCTGGTGTTTCAGGTTTAAACCCAGCAGATACATAACACTATACCTCAAGAAAACAAATGAAACACAAATGTGTTGTGATAAAGTGCACATAGAATAGGTATATTACATTGTTCATACAACTTAACGAGAAGAATGACTATTGTCACTGGTAAAACTTATGAAATAGCTATCTTAAGTGCAAACGACCTATCAAAGAGGCCTCAGTTTTGTGTGTCATGCATATTATAGGTTCAAACTAGTTAAGCCATTAACTGATCTTAGCAGTATAACATCAACAACATGATATACAATAATGCATACATCATGCATAATAAGAAGGTCCAAGATATGAAGGACCCTTGAATTCAGTTTATAATTCAAGATATGAACTTTCATGTTACAATCTATGCAACCATGTGCTTTAAAAGCTACATTTACAGTTCCATGGCATTAAATAAAAAACAGATAAAATTATACATTTTTGTAGTACCTTTCCAAATAAATCCATGATGTATATGGAGGAAGCTTTTCAATGTAGGGGATCCTGATGGGGCGAATAATACTCTTTCCAGAACTACTATTTCCAAATATTATTACTGATGATGATTCTTCTTCTTGACTATTAACATTATCTCTATCCCCAAGGACTATGTCAGATGCTCCGACCTGGCAAAGTGCACTTTCACTTCTTATTGAAAGCATATTTATGGCTTCCATGTGCTCCCTTGAGCAATCATCTTTCTTTAGTGTCGCTAATGCTTGAAGTTGGAAGGTATGAACCTCCAAATTCTTTCGGTTCCTTTCAATCCTCTCCTGCAAAGTAAAACTACTTTAAAGGATTCTTCCACACATGAAAACACATGCACAAGTCTAAAAAAGCTAGCCTGAACACAAATGTGAGAAGCATATGCATCAGTAACATGAGTAGCAGGTCATTTCTGTATGGAAATCATGATTGAACTCTACTGCTCATGGATACTAAAGTGACTACTTGTTTGCGTGCAATACATGCAAATGAATTAAGGGATTGTCTGCAAAGAGACCATTTATCTTTTGTACATGGAGGTCACAATCATTCCCACTCATTTGATGTCAAATTGGATGGCTTGGGGTGAGTCACGAAGTCTGAGAAATTTTTTGTTGGAGCTGTGTCTATTCAATTACTCGTACAAAAGATAACTGGTCTCTTCATAGACAATCCAAATGAATAAATAGTAGTTGAAATTAATGATCAGTAAAATGATATGGAATATACATCTCACAATGACACAGCCCAATATGTATACATGTACATATGCAGAAAACATGTCTCCCATGAAAGTAAATAAATCACATGTCTCTGTCATGAATCTTGCAAGCATATGAGAATGCATGTTGAATTCCTACACTCATCAATTGATGCTAGTCCTCATGCATGTCTCCCCAACTTCATATATGCATCCGAATGCACGTTGATGCAAATGGAGAGCTAAAGACAAAAGTACTATATTATTACAAGTGGGTTTAGAGGGAGCACGTGTTTCAGACTGTGTTCCAAAAACGCCTCTACATAAATACATTAATTCCATATAAGGTTGCATTTTTTATTGTAATTTATACCCATGGTTAACCATATATTGATTTGGAAAATGCCACTGGTCTTTTTAGGTTTTTTAAGAAGTAAAAATTAGAAGGCTTTGGAAGAATGAACAGAATTTAAGCGGAAATATATCAATTAGTCAATTAAAAAATCATCACTTATTTTGATAGTGGAAGGTGACTCCAAAAATTCATCTCTTGAGTGTCAAGCGAGGCAGTCCCCCCCCCTGGAGACTCGCATCCTTTTTTTATGAGATTTTTGACATTTGCAGACATATTCAGGTCTCAAGGATGCATACCTGGCGCAAGGCCAATCACTTAGCTGGCAGTCTCGCTAAGGAAGGTGCTTCTCATGCTACTCACTAGAGAAGCTGTTGTTTGTGGTTTCTATGGACCGCCTGTTTTTTGTATACACATGCTTGTATAGCACTTTTTGACATGGCCACCGTCTAGGTGGTTATGTATAGAACTCCCAATCTGTGGGTAGCCATTTTTTGCAACTCGTACAAATCTCTATACTCAACACAATTTCAATAGTTTCAAAAAAAAATACCACTTATGTATAGATGACTTTTTCTGTTTACAAAAGAATTATAGATACAACATGTATGAACAGAAAAAAAAAAATTTCGTGATCCGGGCGAGACCAAATTGCACATTTGTTCCCATGGTAAAAACCATGTTAGTAGCGATTATTTAACACAAAAGACTTGCGAATTATTTTTTTTATAATTATTTACATATTTGAAAAATTAAATACTGTATAAATGGATGGGACCTCAATCTAGTCGTATTAATGCATTTCTGCACATTTTTAACATGCAAGAACATGCCCTAGCATACACGTCTTGACCACAGCAATAAACATTATGCATGCATATGTGTCCAAAAACAAATATAGCCACAACCAACTCCAAAGGATACACCATCAAAGCATATAGCTATGTATTAGAAAACATAATATGACAGCTTATACCTGATTATATAAAAGATAAAACAATGTACCATCAGCTTACTTTTATAGAAGATAATCTAGCATCTAGCACCAGATTTATCAGTTTCTCCACTTTAGAAACCAAAGCACCAAAGGCCTTATCCTGCTCTCCATCAGGTTTCTGCCCACAAGTCAAAAAATTAGTCCAATCTTTTTTTCTCTTTTTTAGATTTCTGAGTGTTGTTTCTTTTCAAATTCGAATCCTTACATTGGATACCCAGAAATATCCACCAGCAACTCTACAGGATTCACCATTGTGGCACTTGAGCCAAATGAACCATGTTGAACACACATGACACACGCATAATTTCTTTATGAATAACATCAGGCACCCAAAAGAAGAATACAGATGTAAAATTGTTTCGTCATCGCCTTAGTAGAGAACACAAAGTATGCATATGAAAAATTATAATCATGATAAAGTCGGGCTCTTAAAAAAACATGGATAAGCATTGATTTCATAAAATACCTCATTGTGGCATGATTATCCCAAAACTTTTCAACAAAGAGTAACAAGACTAAGTCATATGTCAAAAGTTTATAAAATCATCATCCTCATAACCTTTTCCCGACTATTTGGGGTCGGCTACATGAATCTTGGTCTGCCATTTTGCTCTATTAAGGGTCATACCCTCAGTGAGGCTATAAGTCTCAATATCTTTTCTCACTACTTGCAACCACGTCCTTTTGAGCCTATCGTTTGCCTTTTTTAGCCTTCCACTTAAAAAAATTATAAAATTTATCCATTTAATAAATCCTGCTCTCAATGGAATTGTATCCCCTTCAATACACATTGAAGAAAACCAAATAGTTAAGTCAGTTCCAGCTGATTTCATTGTTACCTTATTTATTCTCGGGCACTAGATCAACCACACTTTTTATTAGTAAACTAGAAGCAACCACATGCTTCTCTCGTAAATTTAGTAACAAGAGTGTAGCATTTCAAATCCTTTAAAAGAAAGACAACATTCAAATAAAAGAATCCAGTTCGTTGGTTTGTAGCTTACTATAAGTGAACCAGTCGCAACTCGCAAACAGCAGGACCATGTCATATTTAGTATTTGAAAGAACACATCTGTAACAAATAAATTAAACATCTAAAGAGACTGATCTCAACAATGTTTGAATCATGGAATTCGGTTTAGCGAAATTGCAGATTAACATAAAAAAAGTCGACGAATAAGTTTAAAACAGAGACCACGGAATTTAGTTAAAGGAAATCAGGGTTTTTCTAGAAGAAGAACATGCATCGGATCGGTTTAAAGGAGAAAGAAACTAAACACTTCGTTTTTATTACAAAAAAAGATCACAATTACACAAGAAAATCTCACAATTCAGTTCAAGAAACTCAGGATCACAATTAAACAGGGAGCAATGGGGTATTGGAATCTATCACTGAGGAATAAAATCAAAGACTTTATATGTATATTTTATTTTATTACATTTTGTGGACTGTTATAAAAGTGTCTAATTAAGAGAGAGAAGAAACCATGACATTCAGTTCAACTTTTTAATCATCATGGAATTGGAGAGAGAATACCCAATAATTGTACACAAATTGGCACCATTCAATCAATATTTCTTCAATTTAGAGAGAGAAAAATGGGCACTATTTCACCGTTCAATTAAAAATTTAACCAATTAGAGCCCAAAAAGGCCAGAGCCAAAGAAAAATGAATTGTGTAGAGAGAGAAACAAAACCTTGATTTCACCACTGGACTCAGGAGTGAGAGAAGCCATCGCTCTAAGCCCCAGGAGCCTTGGATTGGAGGTGGAGTAAAATAATTAAAAATGAGCCTTGTCTCTGTTGTTTTATATATTTATTTCTACTTTTGGAATTTAACCTAATTTAGTAACTACTGTGCAGAGGCCTGTGGGCGCGTGGAGAGAAATCAATGAAGGTTTTTTTTCATTTTTTTTTTTTTTTTGAAAATGAAAGTTACCGTATGTTTAGACTTTATCACTTTTAGACACTGGAAATTGATATTCTTTAATTTTATTTTTTGCAGTAATTGTAAAAGATAAGATCGTTAGTCTAGGCCTGAACTAATAAAAAATCTAAAAATAGGTCACTTTTAATTGAAAATCTAAAAATGGTCATTTTTACAGGAAAGTACATAATGAGACCACCGTTGAAGTTAGATAGCACACCCAAGCTATCAGATTTTACATTGGATGACCTATCTATACTCAAATTAAATAGTTTTATTGTATACAACCCTTAATTTTAAACAAAATTATATAAAGCGTCAACCTTTTACTATAAAAATAAGTTGCCCTCGGAAACCCCCTGGAATAAAATAGTGGTATTCTTTAATAGGGGTACACATTTGCCAAACATTTTTAATGAGAAAGTATACAAGAAATTTATTTTTAGCCTAACAAGGTTGTAGTCATTATTGATCATTAAATGTGAAACTAATCAGCCGCATGATTGATTTGGACACAAAATTCAATGTAAATTTTTTGGATTGTATGACGTATTTAAACTGTGGAATTTTTCACCTAATGGCTAAAAATGATTGTTTTTTTTTATAAAAATAAAATTAATTTCATATTAAAATTTTACACGTGGACTCAACTTTAGAGTCTACAGTGTTTTAGAACCTGGTCAATCAATCATTGGATTGATCCCGGCCAGATTAGACGGTTCTCTAGTGTGAGGATCAGTCTAAAAAATTAAGAATAGTTTTAAAATTGAAAAATAAAATTTAAAAATAGTAATTAAATAGAATATGTGGGAACCCAACAATTCAGCACATCGATTCCCTAACAAAATCACTCTGTTCTCTCACAATATTGGTTGAGTCGATCGAAATTGGCTCCTGGTTCTCACTTATGACTAGGAACCTGGTTGTTCCCCTCAGTGTTCTTTAAAACACTGTGAGAGTCTAGACCTACTCTAAATCGACAGTGTTCGATAAATGAGAACACCGTTTTTCAACTGTCATCTAAATTTTGAAGAACAGAAATAAGAAAAAGCAACCTATAGGATACCCATGCTGTGTATGTAATAATGAATGCAGTCCATCGACCATCCATATATATTACTTATAGTAGAGATGAACAGGAATTTCTGATTGGGTTGTAAGTGTTAATGTATGTACATCTTACCCAATGTACACCAATTTTGGCGTTAATGAAATATTTGTTAACACTGTAAAAGGAGGACGAGTTCTTCGTTACTGATTACAGATTTCAAAATTCGGACCTGTAGATCGAACCGATCGAACCAGTCACATGTCGGTGTGGCACTGGCTTGGAACTGTTTGAGTTGGCCCGCTCATTCTCTAGTACGTCAAAAAAATAAAACCTAGCAAACTGCGCAAAACCGATTTTTAAAACAATGGTATCACACCAAAGAAAAATATCAAATATGTTAAATACTTCACAAGAAGTGGTAACTTTCATTCTTTCTTTTTTTGTTTTTTTTAAGTGACCTAGAAATCACTTATAAAAAAGGTCCACTTATAGCTATTCAATTCTATTTCATGAGATCGTTCATTCCGAATTCTCAATAGAATTTAGGGATTTCACTTTGTTAATTAAAGGGAGTATGGCTAAATTACTCCTAGTTTCATAGGACAATACCACATTTTATAAACTTTTTTTTTTTTTTTGAGAATTAAATACCATACTCTACATAGTACATACAGATTGGATCAGTAGCCAACATCAATCACATCTAGTTAAGTATGGATGGCACAATTCAGTAATTCTTCATGCTCCAAAATTGGGGCTACTGTAAAATGAGCATCAACTCATCACGTAGTATAGATAAGTAGGAGCGGCGGATGTTAGAATACCCTCTTTGAATCAGAGTACCCTATTCCACACGTACCAAACTATAATATTTTCTCCTTTCGAGTTTAGAATTTCTTTATTTTCATCGGATGTTCAAACAATGTTACTAATGAATTGGCCATGGTCTTGGCCCGTATTTGATTACTCAGGCGAGCCAACTTGGACTTGCTTGAGGAACTTGGACTCGCTGCCTTAGCAAGCCTGACTATTCCAGAGTTGGGTGTTAAACACGAGGATTTAAAAAAAAAATGCAACTATAATATGATAAAAAATTTATTTGTAATTTTATTTTATTTTTTGACATTTTTGGTAGGTTTAGCAAAGATTGGAAAGTGTTTTAACCATAAATATTTAGTTTTTACATTTTCCCTTCTTTTTGGATTATTTCTAAAGGGAAAGGTTTCTATACTTCCCCTACAACATAGAAGATCTATGCTTCCTTTATCAGCCGTCCAATTTTGATCAAGAGAGCCACTAATCATTTGATCTTAAATCCGATGTCTCAAATTATTTTATTTTTAGTTTTTTTTTATACAAATTGTATGAATATGAAATTTGGTACGTGATATATTCTCATTGGGGAGCACCTATAAAAAATTATTAAAAATAATTTTTCGATAAAATATAATGATCAAAATACCTTTTGAACTTTTCAAGGGTATTTTAATCATTTTAGTTTATTGGAAATATTTTTTTATATTTTTCTCTAGTGCGAGTTAATAGAGTATTGGAAGTACAAAATTTGGTGTCCAAATAGTTTATAAAAAAAATAAAAAATAAAATAGAGTAAAGACATGACCTTGTCATTGGGGCAATCTTAGCCCTCCATTCAAAATGGGCGGTTGGATAAAGGGAAGTATATAAGTTTTATGTTGTAGGAGAGACATAGAAAGCTTGCCCATTTCTAAAATGCACACCGTCATAAATTGATTTTTTTCAAAATCCATTTTTTTTACTACTTTTTTTAACCTCATTTAGATGTACTTTGATTACTTTTACTTTACACATATTTGTCCTGTGTTTTGAAATTTTCTTTTACTCTTGTTAACACTTTTTGGCTTAGCCCGAATTTGGGGCTGAGTTCCTCAGACCTGGGTCGAGTACTTGGCTCAGACCTGGGCTGAGTACTCTGGGCCCAAGTTGATCATTCAAGCACAGGTCTTGGTCAAAATTTCATAGTTTGAAATGGATAATAGGGCTGTGTTCGAAAAATATTGGACATACTAAATGCCCTTTTGAAATTCTTTTAGCTTCTCGAAATCTTCCCCGGATCTGCCAAAACGCCGAAATGCTTATCTTCCTTGGCCGAACCAAACCAATGCGTGAGGCAACTTGCACAGCATCGATGATACATTGCGAGCAACATTAATATTGAATTAACAATACCAGCTTGAGCTACTTGATCTCTTATTCCTATCTAGAGCCACTGGAAATGAGAGAGAGGCCGTTTAGTCCAACTGGGAACATGCATAATACAAGGTCAAAATCACTCTTACCTATCAGATTTCAAATTGGGTGAGTTTGTCTCACCCCAAACCATTCATATTGACATCTAATGGCTAAAGCAATTGTGACTTGTAATAATGATAGATGGTCAATTGACATCTAACGGCCCAGGCAATTGTGACTTGTAACAATGATAGATGGTCTCAGTAAGTATATAACCCTTAAAGGCAAATGATCTCTTTATACACATTTTCTTAAAAAAAAAAGCAAAAAGTAGACAAAAATTTAAAGAACATTGACAAAAAATGTAAGGATTGTTTAGATAAGACCATTAAAAATCAGTTTGGTAATTACATAGAAAAAGGAGAAAGATTAAAACATCGTAGCATGGGGAATTCATTAAAACTATTAGTAGCAATAATTAAGATCATCATCATCAATTTAACCCTTTTTTAATTAATTAGGTTCATCTACATGAATCCTGATTCTCCATTTTGCTCTATTAAAAGAAAAAAAAATAAAAAAATTAGCAAACCATCTAGCTGTTTAGTTCAACACAGAAGTTTGTGATTCCCCCTTTTCCTTCTTCCCCAAAGACATGAATTTACAGACAATTCTTGCAACATAATACCCATATATACACACCTACTCCACTGCCTGACTAGCCATGAAATGTCTACAATTACTTCAACCCTTATCATCTCCACGATCTCAAATATCTAATCTAGAGTACTACTAGTATCAACAATAGGTGCACTGCCATAATGATCCAATAGTGATGCTTTGAAGGTCCTGCATTCCGAGTGAGGCCCAGTTTTTGGTGGGGCTCAGGCAGCCCTACAAGCCCTGCGGGCCTGACTTGGTTTAAAGTTTCAGGCCGAGGTCTGCACTGGCCAAGCTTAGCATGGCCTGGCCCGGCCCGGCGTGCACCTAGCCTATTGGCAACCTTACCGCTGCTAATCGGCCAATGCAGGCCCTCCGGCATCTGGGCTGGGCTCTAGAAGCACAGGCTGCGCTCAGGCCTCGTTTAAAAAAAATGTCTCAGCCTAACTAAAAAAATTTGGGCGGGGCCCAAGCGCCACTAGGGCCCATCCTGTTGCAGCTCTACTTAATCACTATGTCAAATTAAACACTCCTGTATAATCCCAATCCCATTTCAAGTACTGCAGTCTCTCTGGGATCCTTTAACACCTCGAAAGATTGTAAGGCAGAATAGATGTTGAGTCCTCATTACCCGATCTCATCATCATCATTGTCAAAGCTTTTTTCCAACTAATTGGAATCAGTTACACGAATTTTGGTCTGCCCCTCATTACCCGATCAACAACCATCAAAATTAAGCTTCAAATGATCACGGGATTACATAATCTAGGTGTCTAGTGTCTCATACAATTGTTGCATATGAAAATCCATCACTACATCTTTGTAACCAACGCCAGCAAAATGCTGACTCACCGCTCCAACAATCTCTCTTCCTAGCTCATCGCTTCCCTCCAATAATTTCCCACAATCTCCATCCAGAATTTCAAACTTCTCCACTGAAAGTGTTATCTAATGAGAAAGTATCAAAATCCCAAGCTGAGAAGTTTCATAGATAGAGGTAGCCCTCGCAGCTCAATTAGGGTGAGAAACCAATGCCATGTACATGAATTATGAAAGCAATCCCAGATAAAGTTTGGTGTTGAGTTTAGTGTTAAGTGAAATAGGTACAAAAGGTCAGGTAACACAGCCCACATTCTGGGTACTCAACAAGGTGCCGAAAAGCTCTCTGCTGTACTGTTTGAGAGTGCTCTTTCTATAGCGAGGTTGTCGGCTTTTGCACCACGGATGAAGTCATAAGATGTGCATAGGCCTGCAGATATCCAAATTTCATCAAATATGTGCTCAAGTCTCCATGGGCAAGGTGAGGCACAGGAAATAATGGTTTTGGAATCCCTTCGATGATCAAAACAGGGTTCCATTCTGGATTTACACATTTAAGGCCCTCGAGGAGGACAATGGCCCCTGCCATTGTGGAATCCGTGTGTCTGATGAATTTCGAGAAGGAAGAATGGACTGTCCCAACCTGGTCTCTAAAGATACCCCCTATGCTAGCCTGGCCAGGGTTGCCAAGGGAGGAATCATCAAAATTTAGTTTGGTTTGGCCTTGGCCCTCCAGTGGTCTCCAAAGGAAAGCTCATGGAATTTGAGCAGACCTCAAGTTTAGCTTGGCAGCATAGCCTGCCAATCTTGAATGAAATCAGTACAGGAGTGATGCTTAAAGAGCTTATGATTCCTAGCCCAAAATATTGCCAAACTTCTGATCCAGTCTTTTAATGTGCTGATGGTGGAGGCCTCCCCTCGAAAGACCCTATGGTTCCTTTTGGTTCATATCACCCACAAATTGGCTGCCACAGATGGCCTCCAAAGAAAAATGCCTGACTTAATTAATTAACTACAAAATGTATAAAATATAGGAAGAGCACAACATCTATTCTTCAATGCAGCCAAACAAGCAGTGAATACATAAAAGATGTAGCTCACGATAACAAACAAATGAAATAATAAGAGAAACAACAACAGGAGAACCAACAACATCATAATAGTAATCTATCGACACACAAAAGGAAAAGGAAAAAGAACAGAGTAAGAATCAGCAACCCTTTCAGTAAATCAGAAATCAAAGACAAGTAAAACACAAGCTTAACATGGGTTCTGTGGTGAACCTTAACAAAGCAAATGCATGTCCAAATAGAAAGTGAAGCCTTCCTCAAATTTCTTACTTAAAAAGGAAAATACAAATAAACTGCCCCAAAATGTCAAGAAACTAGGCCTCAGCAGGGGGTTGGGTGACCCCAAACTTCACCAACTCCTTCTTTAGCGAAGCAGGGGAGTAAACTTGGTACTTGACCTCACCAGAGGGTGATAGGAATATCTCAGCCAACTCAAGCTTCTCTGAAGTCAAGCTCGTGCTATCCATAGTCTTGCTAAGCACCTTAAGCGCAAGCTGAACTGCTTCGTCTTTAGTGATCTCATCCTTGTATTCTTGCTTTAACATCGATTGAGCAGCCTGATTATTGGCCCCAATGGCTGCAGCCTTCCAACCACCATAATTCCCACTTGGGTCACTCATATACAACTGAAACCCGAAATTCTTGTCCCAACCTGCAAATAGAAATGACACCCCAAATGGTCGAAGCCCACCAAATTGAGTATAGCCTTGTTTTGTATCACACAGAGATTGGACTAATTGCTCAACTGGCATTGGCTCTTGATAAGCAAAAGTGTATCGTTGGGCTTGAACACGAGCTGTGTTGATCAAAATATTGGCATCAGACATGATTCCAGCCACTGCACAGGCAAGATGGTCATCGATTTTATACATTTTTTCAGTGGATTTGGACGTTTGGAGGAGTTTAGAGGTAACCTTCTTCTCTCCCACTAAAACAACACCACCTTTTGATAAAACCCCAATGGCCGCACCTGCATTTCCAATGGCTTCCATCGCATATTCGACTTGGTAAAGTCGACCTTCAGGGGAGAAAATGGTGGTTCTGCTATCATACCTCCGAGACATTTCCAAGTAATATTTGCTGCAAAAGAAGAGGAATAGGCGCCATTAACAACAGTCACATCTTAATAATAATAATAATAATAATAATAACAACAACATATTTTCATAATTACAACCAGAGCATTTGACTTCCTTGGTCTTTTTATAAGTAACTAGGGTTTTGATTTCCAATTTTCAACAATTAGTTGATGCAATAAACTTGAGGTTTTTCTTTATTACAATGTTTTTCTTAAGGATTGGAAGAAAAATTAGGTCAAAATCCACAATTCCTGTTCAACAAACTAGGCTCCAAACACAAAAGTGAATCCTGAAACACTGAAAATGTCAAATAATCCTGTGAATTCAAGCATTACAACTCTTTTGGGTTTGCACATCTAGAGAGGAAATATGATTAAAAGGAACAGAAAAAGCATTAAATAACCCTTTAAATCCAGGCATTCAGCCTACTAATCTTCAGGGTGCATACATCTAGAGAGAATACCGAATTAAAGCTACAGGAGACTGCAAAAATATCAAATAAACCTCTAAATTAAATCCTTGAGGTTTATAGGAGATCAGACATGAAGAAGAGAAAGCACGGAGATCAGACATGAAGAAGAGAAAGCACCATACCTAGAAGATCTCCAGTAGTCAGGCTTCTCTTGGAGCTCAAGCTTTGCGCGCGATAATGCGATGCTTTCCTTTATATAGAGGGAAGCTACAATATATAATCATCATAACAAAATGATGATGGCAATTTCACCGTCAAATCAAATGGATTGGGTGGTGATAGATGGAGGACGTTGGAAAGATCATTATAATATTATTTTGGGAAAGCTTGCTATACATGCCACCGCTCTTCCAAGCCGTCCGATCTGAGCGGAGGGCTGAGATGGCTCTAATCCTATCGTCATATGTCTCGCTTAAATACTATTTTAGTTTTAAATTTTTTCTAGAAATGATATTGGGAATAAATTTGGAGCATCCAATTATCTCTCGACCTCTCATGTATAAATTTTTTTTTGTTGGTGAGGCAATATCTTCATCAAAACTTTTTTCCAACTAATTGGGGTCTCTAACCAATTAGGGTCTCCGGTATAAATATTGCAAGAGAATAAATCTCAATATCTTTTCACATTACTTACAACCGTGTCCATTTGAACATTCATGATAACAAAAAAAAAAATCAAAGTACCTCTGAAACTTTTACGGGGTAGTCTAGTCATCTCACTTAGAAAGTTTGGGGTGTGAGTTATTTTGCTAACACTCCACTTTCTCTATTCTCTTTCGCTTTCTATAGAGTAAATTCTAGCATACTTACTAAGGGATGCGATTTGCATATGGTTCCAACCTTAAATAATTGAAGTAAGATAGACCTCTAAACTTTGTTATAAGGTGCAATTTAAGCGTTGAAAATTCTTAGAAGGCACGATAACCTATGTTATTCTCTAATTATAAAAATTTAAACTCCAAAAATGATTCAAATCAATCAAATCTATAAATACATGAAAATCTTGAGAATGCACAGTCTAGATAATGTATTGCACGATGTACTGTTTTTGGGACTTGATATCTTTTTTTTCTCCATATCCATACATCTTGATGTCGAGTAGATCAATTAGATATGGACCTGGTTTCTATGTAGCCAAGCCTGCGGGCCTATTAATAAATCTATTTTTGAAATGGATTTTTGGATTTAATTTTCAAGGACATGTAATCTCTAACATGGAGATCATGAATATGAGAAAATAAGTAAATTTTTAAAACTAGATACAATAATTCTAGTAAGAAAACATTTGAACCATTAGTTTCCATTGTTTTTAGATGGAACACCTATTTGCATCCATCTTTAAGATGGATGCTTTTCCCTTTTTGGACTGCATATATAGTCATTAGTCATGCGGTTCAGCCCACATGAAACAATTTTCCATTGGATATTTTTCCAACCTTTTTCTAAGAATTTTAGAGCTGCACCTTAATTCTACACTTTAAGTTGACAACTTCATTTAAACTTTTTCCCTAATTAAGATCTCTTATTTGAATATGGAAAAAGGTTATATAAGGAATTAACCTGGTGCATATAAACAATCCACACAAAAAAGAAGAGAATATGAGGAATCAACTGTGCATATCAAACAATCGAAAGTACCAGGACTCAACTTGGCCGAGTCTAGCACATGCTCAAAAAAAAAAAAAAAGAGAGAAAGCAAAAGCAATTAAATATATGCATATATACAGTAATTTTCAACAACAAGACCCATTGAGCATTTCAAGATGGTGAAGAATCAAAACCCGCTAAGGGCATTTGTTTTGAACGGTATAGATGAGTACGAGTAACTTGCACGAGTCTGAGTAACTTGCATGAGTCTGAGTCAACTAGGCCGACTCACATAAGAGTGGTTGGATGTATCAATAAATGGAATAACTTCAATGAGGAAGTCTCCTATCTTTTGGTGAGGAGGATGATGATTTTAATTTCTAAGTGATATTATGTTTTTTGTTTTGTGAGATCTCAACAAGAAAGCTCACAAAGAAATGTCAAAAGCTTTCAAGGTATCAGACACAAGTGCATGTCCTCTATGATCAACATGTCCATAAACCATGGACATGATTGTTCCATTACATAGGACTCGTATCATTTCCTAGAATTGAAGTGTGAACAAACAATGTAACTTAGACACCTAAGAGCACCTCCAAGCAGAAACAGAGTGCAATGCCCCCCTTCCAACCAACTGTCAATGCTTTCCCATTCATTTCTAGTGAAATAGATTCCGAGTGAGGATAGATTCTCACTATCTGTTTTGCCAATTCAAAGCATCCTCAATAAGCTGAAACTCTTCAAAACCCACTCTGTTCATAAGCAACCTCCACGTATCAATTCCAATATGCCTGATGATTCTCTCTCCTCCCTCCCCCACCACCACGTTCGGAATTGCCGAACCCATAAGTACTCTTTCTATTTCCAGTCTACTCGGGTCCACAGCTTCCATGAAAGCATCAAGAGAGTCAAAATAGGCACTGTAATAGAGCAAAACTTCGATGAATCTGTTGACAAAAGGTGGTGAATTATGCTTGCCTTCCACCTTGGTGAGCACCACTATATCAGGGCACAAGTTTCTGATGACTCTGATCATCTTCTCCAAGCAATGAGGCGACCAATTCTCCTCTATCTAGCTCAAACAGTTCCTCTCTCATATCTTGCTCAACATTCGAAACAGTAATCGAATTGAAAACAAAGGGGAGCTTCAGAGTTTTGGCAAAATTAAGCAGTTGGGTACCTGTCTCTTCCACTCTTTCTGTGGAATCATCTACCATGGTCATCTTCAAAATCTCAACAGGGTACTCAGACCTCTCTGATAGGCTCTGCATAACCATATTCCAGTGCAAGCCTCTTCTGGCCTCCAGGTCTATTAGATAAATTTTTGTCGCAGATGCCAGAGCGCTAATTATAACTTGGCTTGCTGTAAATTGCAAGAGTTTTGCAGAAGGAACGGTCTTATAAATTGCCAAAACAGCTGGGTGATAACCCTCTAACATTTTATCTGCAGCTGCTTCTCCCTCAAAATATTCTGGCGTGAGAGATTTCAACCCGGTTTCTGTCTCTACTCTCTCCCACAATGCTTCTGAAAAATGGAAAACCAGTCGTTGCACTGGGTTACCCACTGGCGAAGACTCAAAATCACGCACCACCAAAAGCCTCTTTGCACTATCATATTGCTGGTTTGATATCTTCTCTGCTGAAGACAAAAGAAGGTGGGCCCGATGTTGTTAACATCTTCGTCAGTTAAGCCTGAAAGCTTGAAAGGATTTGGGGGAGAGAAGAGGTTTTCCCCAGGAGTGAGATACTACTCTCCTGCAATTCTCATTACTTCTTCAGTGGAGAGCTTTCTCTCTCCTCCAAGCTCTCTCTCCCCTCCAAGCTCTCTCTCCCCTCCAATTGGGGTGTCGATGTTGGTGCTCTGTTTTACGGCACAGCCACCGGAGTGCCGCGGCAAGAATCTGCTAGACGGCTTCAGAATCTCCAAAGAAGCTAATGAAATTGGGTATGCTTTTTGTTTCTTTGAAGAAGTTCCATGATCAGTTTGTTCAAGAATATCTGCAATTGATACCTTCTCTTGATCATTGAGTGAGCCTGAAAGTGCGTGTTTATGGGGCTTGGTGATAAACCACAGAGAGCTTCTGATTCATGGAGGCTCAAAGTGTGATGAGTGAACATGTCTTAGAATTGAGAACCAGTTTAATCTCCAGTCTGAGCTCTATATAGTTTTCAAACTTCGCTTTGAGATTTTGAGAGTGTGGCTCTCTCGTAAATAAGGTTTTGAGAGAGAGAGAGGTCAGTTTAATCTTTTGAAAAATTACACCCGTACCATAAATAAGATGGCGATACTTGCGGGCCGAATTTTACGTTGACATCCATTTGTTTTAGGGAAAAGTATATATATAGTAACTAAGGCTCTAAACAATCAAACTAGCATACCTCAAAAATTTCACTAGAGGAGGTTGTTTTGATGCTCAAATATCCTCAAATTGATCATCTCGGCATCAAGATGCATAGACTTGAGAAAAAAATAGATTTCAAGTTTTAGAAATAGTGCATCTTGTAATGCATTTTTGGAACGTTCAATTTTCAAGATTTTCAAGTTTCATAAATCTGTTCTATCTACACAATTTTTTTAGCTTGAAATTTTATAATTAGAGGTGAAAATATATTTTAAGGCTATTACAAAGATTTCTAGTATTGAAACCACATTTTTCGGCACTATTTGAAGGTACATTTTACTTTGATTGTTTAGAACCTTAGCTCTATACAAACCTCAGCCACTTGCCCAAAAAAAAAGCCGCACCCTTTGTTTTTTTGTTTTTCCAATTTGAGGCTTGGATCCTCAAACCACTTGGTACCATTCTAAGTGGTCTAAGGTATGGAACCTAAGACCTATCCCTGGATTGTGAATTTCAGTCTGGAGATTAGTTCAAGGGCTCAAACCTTAGAACGCTTGGCTTGAGTAAATATTGTGCAATCCAAGCGGTCCGCCAAGAGGTCTAACATTCGAAACCTTGACGCAATCCTTATGCTTCATAAAAAAAATTAAAGAAATACAATAAAAAATCCATCCAATATATAGAACATTGGACTAAGGAGCACAATCGAAAAAAATGAGAATGGCAAAAAAAGCAGCAGTTTGACGTTTGGAATATTGGCCCAATGGACCTCCTCATAAATTTTAATATACTTTGGACCTTCTCGTAATGGACCTCCTCATAAATTTTAATATATTTTGGACCTTTTCGTAATTACCATATCTAAATATGGTACAAATGTAAATTTATCGTAGTATGTTGTTTGGTAAGTTAGATATTTGGCTAAATTTTCCACACTTGATAGAAAATAGGGTTATCCGGGACAATACAAACATGTATACATTGGAATAAATGGCTAATCAAGCCATGAATTTCTATGTTTATTATTAAATAATCATAAGCAGTGTTTTAAAACCCAAATTGATGGGGTCGATTGTCCACCCCCACGTATCCGCTCCAGATCACTACATCGGTGATCATGATTAATTTGGATCAGTCCGAATCGACAATCCACAAAAATATTTAAAAATTAAAAGATAGCGGTTAATAGGGTGGGATTTACTACAATTTTTTTTTAAAAAAAAATATTAGATAAAGTTCAAGAAAAAAAAACTTCGAATAGGGGATTCTAGGTAGGATGGGGCCGGGATGTTTACGTTTTAAGAACAAATTCAATCCCTATGAATTCCTAGTTCAGATTGGTGATTCCCAATCGAGATCGCCGAAAACACCGGTCACAAGTACTAAATTCATTTCACTCGAAATTATCTATATCTACGGCAAATTGCGATATTTACAAAGATACTCCATTTTTGATGCTTTATGTTCTAAGCAATTGTCAAGTTTCAACAAGTTCATCCCTGTCTCCATCCAAAGAGCATTGTCCAGGCACTTATAACAAGTCAAAGAACAAGAATCAGAATTATAATAGTGGTTAATTTGACATAAAAAATAGACTTGGTGGTGAGTTTTATTCACCTTCAAACAAGTAGGCACTTGTGGAAACATCAAGTGCAATGAGAACCTCCACCACATGAAGAGATCAGGATAAAAAACCAAGCACATCAAAGACTATATGGTTGAGCAGGCAATGGTATTCTATCATATGCATTTTTGGCGGTTATAAATGGTCTCGGAGTACATATATTATGCTCCCACGGGAGCATACTATGCATTCACTCCCTCGTGCAATATACTTATTTTGGAACAACATTTGTCTAAAATTTTGGGAACCACCTAGATGACTATTTTCAATACAAAAAATTGAATTTTGAGTTTTGTGACACTTAGATCTTGCTCTTAAAAAATTCATCGGTCTCTGATGCATTATTTTATTTTAGTACGTAGAGAATTTATGTCAATTTTTTTAATTTTGATTAGTTTATGAGTTTTATAGATTTCATCCCCAAAATTTGAGATCTAAAAAGCATGTGTTTTTACCTAGTTGGATAGTATACTCCGATGAGTGTCGGAAATTTTTCGGTTATAGAGTGCGTATATTAAGCTCCCGGAGGAGCATTACTGTTCATCTAGTTCCTTGGGGGAAAACCTACTTGGAAGAAATTTTTGGATCTAAAATTCAGAAACTACCTAAAAATAACTAGATTATTATTTTCAAAATCTCACCTTCAAAAAATAGCGTTGTTGTTTTTAAGGGCATCAATAATACGGTTGTTGTTTTTAAGGGCATCAATAATACGATTTGGAGTCTTTCTTTTTCTTTTTTTTCTTTTTTTAAGATTAGGCAATGTGCTGAAGGGTGAGGACCCCAAATTGTAGGGGTGTAACCTTTACGTATACACTCCAAACGTGCTCTTAGCTCCAAAAGTGTTCCTAGGAGTGTAGGAAAAATTTGGCGGTTCAAATTGGAATTGCTCGATTAGATCGGAACCGGCCGGTTTCAGTTTCGACTAGTTAAAATATATATAAAATCCAATAAGTAAGGGCTTTTCTTTATAATGCGTTTTTTAGTTTTTTCATTTTTTTTGGGCAAAAATTGGAAATTGTTTTGGCTACTAATACTTAATTTTGCATTTTTTTTTATTTTTTTTAAAAAAATTCAAAAATACCCCTGAGCACAAATGAATTATTTAAAATCCATTTCTTTTATTAAATTTCAATTTCATTTGGATGTTTTTTTGTTTAATCATACTTTAAATATACTTTTCATATTTTATTAGATTTTTTGTATTTTTTTTTTAAGTTTTTAATACTCTTTTGACCACGGGGACTTGCCTGGATAGGCCAGTTGAACCAGCCAGTTAACCGGTTGGTACCGAGTAACTGCTTTCTACCCTATGTCCGATGAACTATTCCGATTAGATTTTTCTTATACTGGTTCCAAGTATATGGTGAGCAATATACTTAGAGCACTTTTGGAGTAGGCCTCGCAACGGACCAATTGGCTAGGTTGGCGTTGCCTAAAAATGTGGCCCCATGGCTGGGCCACAACGCCCAAGGATCGGGCATGAGCCAAGCTTGCGACAGGGCCAGCCTAGCATGACCCTCTTTTGTTGTTTTTGCTTTTTTTTTTTTGTTTTGCATATTGCTTTTGTTTGGTTTACTTTTATTGTATTTGGGCTTAGTCTCTCTATGATTTTAAGGTGAACATAGACAACACGAATCTTCTTGTCCAGGAAAGAAAATCTAATCACTCATTTTTGTCTCCATGATCCATCCAAATGGCTGGCTCGTGGATAGCACAGGCTACATAATAGTTATATATATTCTAACCTTAGGGCGTGTTTGATTGGTGGAATTAGTGGAAAAAGGGGCTGCCAAAGCCATTTCTTCTACTGGTTTTGGAGGATGTAGAACAGAAGAGCGTTGTTTTGGAAGCCACAAGAAGCTGCACTTTCCAAAACAACATAGCACTTGTCGTTGAGAAACATGAGAAGTGCTACAGTAATTGAAAGGCAATACCCAAGATGCCGACTTCATGTGGGTGCTGATAAAATTGTATGCCCCTATAGGAGCAAAATTTACCATTGCACCTGCTCTAGCTGAAAGCCTAGTTAGATATGTTTTGTAGGACCCCAAATTGTAGGGTCCTATCCTACTCAACCTCGTCATCAACCTTCTTTGCTTGCATAGGCACATATCATTTCCTACGATCCAAGTGTCGAACAAAAATGCAGCTAAGATTAAGAGCACCTCCAAGCAGAAACAGAGTGCAATGGTTTGCCCTTCCAACCAACTGTCAATGCTTTCCCATTCATTTCTAGTGAAATAGATTCTGAGTGACGATAGATTTTCACCATCACTTTTGCCAAATTCGAAGCATCCCGAACAAGCTCAACCTCTTCAAAACCCACTCTGTTAAAAAACAACCTCCATGTATCAATTCCAACATGCCTGATGATTCTCTCTTCTCCCTCCCCCGCTACCATGTTCCGAATTGCCGAACCCATAAATGCCCTTTCCATTGCCAATCTATCCGGGTCCACAGCTTCCATGAAAGCATCAAGAGAGTCAAAATAGGCACTGTAGAAGAACAAAACTTCAATGAATCTGTGGACAAAAGATGGTGAGTTATGTTTGCTTTCCACCTCAGTTAGCACCATTATATAAGGACACAAGTTTCTGATGACTCTGATCGTTTTTTCCAAGCAACGAGGCTTAATCAACATGGTCTTTAGAACCATGGGGGCGTAAACAGCTACTGATTCTTCTCTATCTAGCTCGAACAGCTCCTCTCTCATATCCAGTTCAACATTCGAAACAGTAATCGACTTGAAAACAAAGGGGAGGTTCAGAGTTTTGGCGAAATTCAGCAATCGGGTACCTGTCTCTTCCATTCTTTCTCCCGAATCACCTACCATGGTTATCTTCAAAAGCTCAACATGGTACTTGGACCTCTCTGATAGGCTCTACATAACCATAGTCCAGTGCAGGCCTTTTCTCGCCTCCAGGTCTATTAGCTGAATTTTTGTTGCAGAGGCCAGGGCGCCGATTATAACTTGGCTTGCTGTAAATTGCAAGATTTTTGCAAAAGGAACGGCCTGATAAACTGCCAATACAGCTGGGTGATAACCCTTCAACATTTTATCTTCATTTGCTTCTCCCTCTATATATTCAGGCTTGTGAGATTTCATCCCAGTTTCTCTCTCTATCTTCTCCCACAAAGCAACGGCAAAATGGAAAACCAGTCGTTGCAATGGGTTACCAACTGGCGAAGACTCGAACTCACACACCATCAAAAGCCTCTTTGCTCCATCATATTGCTGGTTTGATATCTTTTCAGCTGAAGATAAAAGAAGGTGGGCGAGCTCGATGTTGTTAACATCTTCGTCAGTTAAGTCAGAAAGCTTGAAACTGAAAGGCTTTGGGGAAGAGGAGAGGTTTTCACCAGTAGTGAGATACTGCTGTCCTGCAATTCTCAATATTTCTTCAGTGGAGAGCTTTCTCTCTCCTCCAATTTGGGTGTCGATGTTGGTGCTCTGTTTTACAGCATCGCTACCGTAAAGGTGCCTCGAGAATTTGCTATATGGCTTTAGAATCTCCAAAGAAGCTAATGAAATTGGGGGTGCTTTTTCTTTCTTTGGAGAAGCTCCATGATCAGTTGGTTCAAGAATATCTGCAATTGGTACCTTCTCTTGATCATTGAGTGAGCCTGAAAGTGGTGGGGTGTTTATGAGGCTTGATGAACCTGAGAGAGTTTCTGATTCGTGAAAGCCCAAAGTGTGACGGATCAACATGTTTTAGAATCGAGAACCAGTTTGATTTTTAGTTTGGAATATATAGAGTTTTCAGGCTTCCCTTTGAGATTTTGAGACCGTGGCCATCTCATAAATACGGTTTTGAGAGAGCGAGAGAGAGGCAGTTTAATCTTTAGAAAAGTTACGTTCTTACCATAAATAGGGCTACTTGGGGGCCAAATTTGACGTTGATATCCATTTGTTTTTTTTTGGTTTTCAACTTCTCCATATATCAAACCATTTTTTATTTTATTTTTTATTTTTTTAAAGTGTAGGTACTCGGCTGAGGTCTAGATCATCGAACCATTCAGCTTATGTGAAGATTATGCAGGCCATAGGAGCTATAGAACCTCAGACCGGTCTCTGGCATGTGAATTTCAGTCGAGGGATTATTTTGAGGTTCTAGACCTTAGACTACTTTGCTTGCATGAATATTGGTGTAATTCAAGCGGTTTGAGATTCCAGACCTTGGACTGTCGGCTTTTACAATGTTTATGTAAGCCAATAGGTCTAATGTTTGAAATCTCAGTCCAATCTCTATATTTTACCAAAAAAAATTAAAAATTAAAAATTAAAATAAAAAATCTATTCGATATTTAAAACATTGAACTGAGGAACAAAATCGAAAACATAAAAAACTGAGGAGCAAAATTGAAAACATAAATAAGGCCAAAAAAAAGCAGCGCTATGATGTTTGGAATATTTGCCCAATGGATCTTCTCGTCAGTTTTAATATATTTTGGACCTTTGCATATATGGTAGATATCTGAATCTTTCTTAATGTTTTTTTGATAGGTTAGATAACTGGTTCAATTTTCGCCACTTACTAGAAAATTAGGGGTGACCGCAGCCTGGGTCTGGCTGGACCCGAACCCGAATAATATTCGGGTCCATGTTTTGTACCCGGACCCAAGTCCATTGCATGCCTGTTCTTGGCTCGAGGTCTATTAGATGAATTTTTGTTGCAGAGGCCACGGTGCCAATTATAACTTGGCTTGCTGTAAATTGCAAGATTTTTGCAAAAGGAATGGCTTGATAAACTGCCAATACAGATGGGTGATACCCCTTCAGCATTTTATCTAAATCTGCTTCTCTCTCTCTATATATTCAGGCTTGAGAGATTTCATCCCAGTTTCTCTCCCTACTCTCTCCCTCAAAGCTTTGGCAAAATGGAAAACCAGTCGTTGCACTGGGTTACTAAGAGGTGAAGACTCAGAACCACACATCATCAAAAGCCTCTTTGCTCTATCGTATTCATGGTTGGCTATCTTCTCAGCTGAAGATAAAAGGAGGTGGGCGAGCTCGATGTTGTTAAAGTCTTCTGTGGTCAAGTCAAAAAGCTTTAAACTGTGAGGATTTGAGGGAGAAGAGAGGTTTCGACCTGCAGTGAGGTATTGCCCTCCCGCAATTCTCATCACTTCTTCAATAGAAAGCTTTCTCTCTCCTCCAAGCTTTCTCTCGCGTCCGATGTTGGTGCTCCGTTTTACAGCAGAGCTACCGGAAAGGCGCCTTGACAATTCTCTATGTGACTTTAGAATCTTCAAAGAAGCTAATGAAATTGGGTATGGCTTTTCTTTATTTGTAGAAGTTCCATGATCAGTTTGTGCAAGAACATCTGCAATTGGTACCATCTCTTGATCATTGAGTGAGCCTGAATGTGGTGGGGTGTTTATGGTGCTTGATGAACCTGTGCTTTCGCTCTGTTCTTCAGGGGCTAGGAAAGCCATTAACAAACCAGAGAGAGTTTCTGGTTCATGGAAGCCCAAAGTGTGATGAGTGAACGTTTGAGAATTTCAGAACCAGTTTGTTCTCTAGTTTGGGCTCCATAGAGTTTTCAAATTTTTCGTTGGGATTGTGGGTATCTCATAAATAAGGTTTTGAGAGAGAGCATTTCAATCTTCAGAAAAATTACATCCATACCATAAATAAGATAGGAATATGTGAAGGTCATTTTTTTTATATTTTGTCGCTTTGTTTCATGCTCTAACATTAGGACCGCTTTGTTTCATGGTCTAACTATAGGACCGCTTTTCTATTTTATTTTTTAGTTTTTTGAAATGTAGGGACCGGTATATGGTTTTGAAGCTTGGACCACTTGGCTTTGTGAAGATCGTGCGAGCAAGTGCTCCGTGGTCTAGAATCTCATACTAGTCCCTGGATTATGGATTTCAATACAGGGATTGGTCTGATGTTTCAGGCTTCGGACCACTTTGCTTGCATGAACACTGTACAAGCTATCCAAGATTCAAGGCCTTGGACCGTTATCTAAACTACAAATTTCTTAGTCTAGAGGCTAATTTGAGATTCCATACCTTGGACTGCTTGGCTTCCATAATATTCACCCAAGCCAAGAGATTTGAGGTTTGGAACCTCAGTAAAGTCCCTACAATTCAAAAAATTTTAAAAATAAAAATAAAAAACTGTTGTTTAGAACATTGGACTGAGGAACAAAATTAAAAAAAATACATCGGACCAATGAACCTACTCATAAATTTTTATAAATTTTTTACCTTGCATAACTAACATATTTAAATATGGTACATACATATATTTTCCTTATTTTTTGTTTAGTAAGTTAGATATTTGGCTCAATTTCCCATGCTAGAAAATAAGGTTATCTAGGAAAGCACAAAAATGTATATATTGAAATAAATGAGCTAATGAAACCATGAATTTCTACGTATATAATCAAATAATCATAAGCAGTGTTTTGGAACCCAAATAGAGGAGATCGATTATCCACCCCACAGGTCCGTGTCAGACCATTGGATTAGTGATCAAGATTGGTTTGGATCAATTTGAATAGACAATCCACAAAACTATTAAAAAACATAAAAATAAAATAAAAATTCAAATAGGGGTCAATAGGTGGGACTTACAACAACATTGAGAAAATATTAGATAAGCTGAATACCAAAAAAAAAAAATGGGGGTTTTAGGGGGATGGAGCTGGGACTTATCGTTTTCATAACCAGTTTGGTCCTTATCAATTTTTTATCTGGATTGGTGACTCCCAATCTAGATTGCAGAGAATACTGGTCACAAGGACTAGTGATATGTCACTCAAAATGATGTCTCTCTATGATAGATTGCGATATTAACAACGGCTCTATTATTATTGTTTTGTACTTAGTTTTTTAATGTTCTAAGCAATTGCCAAGTTTCAGAACGTTCACGCCTTCTCTCCATCCAAGAGCATTGTCCGAGTAGGCAATCACAAAATTATAAAAATAAAATAAAAAATTAAATAGGGGTTAATGTGGTGGGATTTACAATAAATTTGAGAAAATATTTGATAAGATTAAGAAAAAAATTGAAATAGGGGTTTTGAGGTACGGGGCTGGGACTTATTACCTTTTCAGAATCAGTTCGATCCCTATCAATTTTTAATATGGATCGGTGATTCTCAATCTAGACCGCTGAAAACATTTGTCACACCAACTAATAATGTTTCACTTGAAATGCTCTCTCTCTACGATAGATTGCGATGTTTACAAAGATACTTTTTTTTTATTACGATATTTACGAAGATACTCTTTTTTTAATGTTATGTACTCTAGTTTTTAATGTTCTAAGCAATTGTCCAGTTTAAACAAGTTCACCCGTATACATCCAAAGAGCACTGTCCAAATACTCCATAACAAGTGAAATAATAAGAATCAGAAATATATTAGTGGCTAATTTGATATAAAAAATACATTTGGTGGTGAGTTTTCTTGACCTTCAAATAAGTGGAAACTTGTGGAAATAGTAAGTACAATGAAAATCTCCGCCACATGAAAAGAATATAATAAGAAACTAAGCACACCAAAGAGCATTGTTGATTAGGTTTTGGTAATTGCATACACTAATGGCGGGTGCGGTTCATGTGAAATTGTTTTCTAGAAAATATTTCTACATAAAAAAATTATCTCGTGTGATTTAAGTGTGAGAATATTTTAATACCAATTGGTCTTAGTACATCTTTAATACCAATTGGCAACTAATTTATGTAAAAATATTCTCACGTTTAACCACATGATATAATATTTTCATATGAAAATATTTTTCCAGAAAACAATTTCACAGGAGCCAAACGTGAGTCAAGCCTATGTGGGAGCATTAGTGTTCATCTACTCCCTCAGGCAGCAAATCTACTTGAATGGTAAAATTTAGGAACTGCCTAAAAAAATTTTGAATTGTAAAATTTAAGAACTACCTAAAAATTACTAAATGATTAGTTTCACAAAAAATAAAATTGAATTTCAACTTTTTTGACATATATCTCACCTTAAAAAAGTGGGACGGACTCTGTTCAATCTTGAGACATTTGTTTTTAAGTACATCGAGGGTGCGATTTGAGATCCTAAAAGTACCCCTATTTAGAAATATTTTGTAGGACCCCAAACCGTAGGGATGTAACATATTCAACCTTGGGTTGCTTGCACACACTGAAAAAAGTCTATATGGTTCTTATTTGGGTGCGGTTTGTATAGAGCCTAGGCTCTAAACAATCGAATTAGAGCCTACCTTCAAATAGTATTGAGAAATATAGTTTTAATACTGAAAATCTATGTGATAGTCTTAAAATATATTTTTATATTTATTTATGAAGTTTAAAGCTTCAAAGATAGTGTAGATTGATAGATCTATGAAAACTTGAAAATCTTGAAAATTGACGGTCCAAAAATGTGTTACAAACTACACTATTTCCAAATCTTGAAATCCATTTTTTCTCATGTCCATGCATCTTGATGTCGAGATTATCAATTTCAGGATATTTGAACATTAAAACAAACTTTTCTAGTAAATTTTTTTATATAAGCTCTAATTTGATCGTTTAGAACTTCGACTCTATATAAGCTTACTTTTTCCTTTATTTTGACATATTAACGCGGGATGGAGTCTTGAGGCATCAACCCCTCCATCCACCAATGCCCCAACCCCATTCTCAAAAAGAAGGTGTACCGAAACGGACCATCCAAATTGTAGATGATTTTAGAACTGAAAAACCTTTTTTT